AAAAAAAAAAAAATAAGAAAAGAGAAAATAGAGGAAAGAAAGAATCAATAATGAAAGCTTTGAGCTTCCAGGACAATGGTTCCACTGAGTATATAGCACAACAAATGAAGACATACACCTTAAAGCACATCATTATTGAAATGTCAGAATACTGGAAATAAAAAGAAAAAAATTAGGTCGCATATAAAGGATCAGGAACCCAAGTGGATCAGACTTCTAAATAGCAACAGTGAATGCTAAAAGGCACTAGAAAAATGCTACAAATTTCTGAGAGAAAAGCTTCCAATACAGAATTTTATAATCCAGCCAAACTATCAGTCAAATGTGAATAAGCTAAAGACGTTTTCAGATATGTAAGATCTCAAAAAGTTTACCTTTCATAAACTGTTTCTGAGAAAATTACTAGAGGGCAGGTTGCAACAAAATAAGGGAAAATATCAAGAAAGACGATTAAATGAGATGAAGAAACATAGGTTCCAACACAAGAAAAAGACAAAAGAAATTCCCAATATGAAATTAATGAAAGTTCTAAGATGAGTGCTGTGCAGCAGGCTAAAGAAGAACAAGTACAGACCAGAGCATAAGAACAGAGGGGTCCAGGAGGGATGGTTCCAAGGGGGCGAAAAAGGAACTACCTTATATGTCTAATATTTTGAGAAGTTTTATAATTTTGTTGGAGAATTTGAGTATGAATTAATAATAGGCAAGAAGAAAACTAAGCAAGTAAAAAAGTGAGGCAGTTAATGCCAGGAAAAACAAAATTGTATGAGAAAGGAACAACGCTCATAGAACACTACAGGGCTTACCTGTGAATATGTCACCATCGTAATGTAAACATCAAATCATAATTCAACTAAAACTATGTGAAGGATGTGGGAAGAGGAAAGGAGAGGATGAGGTAATATTTTAAGAGATCATCAAATTTTCATCTTCCATTACTGAAGACAGCTGATCTAAAAGTAGAAAGCCAAGATATTTAGAAGTATAGTAGACCTTCGAACAACATAGGTTTGAACTTCATGGGTCCACTTCTATGTGGATTTTTTTTTCAATAAATACGGTTGATCATCCATATCCACAGGTTCTGCATCTTCAACCAAACACGGATGGAAAATACAGTATTCATGGGATTCACAAACCAAGGACATGGAGGGCTGAGTTTTCATATCCACAGGTACACAAGGCCAACTGTAGGACTAGAGTATGCTTAGATTTTGGTATTGCTGGGGGTCCTGGAACCAATCCTCCGCAGATACCAAGGGATGATTGTACATAGTTAGATACTGAAAGAAAGCTACAATAGTTGAAAGTAGTCGCTTCTAGGGAGCAGAAACTAGGAGCAGGCAGGGACAGGGTAGGAAACTACTGTTCTTCATCATAAGCCTTATAGTACCATCTAAATTTA